GAAAAGATTATCAGAAACAAACTATGTGGTTAGTTTTGAAGGGAATCAGGAAGGGAATAAAGTGTATCACATCAATATGTTAAAACCTTATCATAAGAGACCTGAACTTTTGAATATGGTGCTCCTTGACAACGAGGAGATAGTTGAACCCTCGGAATTAGAGGAGGATTTTCCTTATATGTTAACCGACCCCAATGTGTTTGATTTTAATGAAATAATAGCAAAAGATAATCTTAAAGAAAGACTTAGTGATGAACAAATCCTGCAGTTGGGAAAGTTGTTGGTAAAGTTTTCTGCTATATTTTCGAATATTCCAGGGAAAACAAATTTAGTCGAACATGATATCGAACTAATCAGTGACAAACGCGTACAGCATAAGCCTTATAGAATGACAAATCGACAGAACGAAATTCTTAAAGTCGAGATTGAAAAAATGTTAAAATACAAGATTATTGAACCAGGACCCTCTGAGTATACTTCACCCATGATCCTTGTTGAAGCACCAGGTAGGGATCCTAGGCCGTGTATTGATTACAGAAAGTTAAACGAAATAACGCGTACTGAGTTCTATCCGATCCCCAATATAGAGCAACGTGTTGAAACTGTTGCAGCAGCCAAATTTATCACCTTGATAGACTTAACTAAAGGTTATTGGCAAATTCCGCTGACCCCTAGGGCTCAGAAAATTCGCTGCATTTGCTACAAATTTTGGCGTATATAGGCCTTTGCGCATGCCATTTGGGCTTAAAAATGCTCCTTATTATTTTAGTAAAATGATGAGCGAAATATTGTGCGGATGTGAGAAATATGCGACCCCTTATTTAGATGATATTGCTATTTTTTCTGAAACGTGGGAGGAACATTTACAACATTTACATGAAATTTTAGAAAGAATAAGAAAAGCCAATTTAACTATTAAACCCTCTAAGTGCAAGTTTGCACAAGAAGAAGTGCAATATCTCGGTCACATAGTAGGTCGAGGAAAACGTTCTCCAGCAGAACTAAAAATCGAAGCGGTTCAAAATTTTCCTGTTCCCACAACTAAAACTGAGATTAGAGCTTTCTTAGGGTTAGCTGGATACTACAGACAATATATACCCATGTTTTCTGCTATAGCCGCACCTTTGACAGATTTGTTAAAAGGGAATAAAAAAAGGGTAAAATTGTTTTGGAATGAATGAATGTAATGAATCATTCAAATCGTTAAAAGAAAAGCTATCTAGTAGGCCTGTGCTACATGCACCCGATTTTTCTAAACCATTTATACTACAGACAGACGCATCATCAGATCAAGGATATGGTGTTGTTTTAGCCCAGAAGGATGATAAAGGAAAAGAACATCCCATATTGTATCTCAGTAAAAAATTTACTGATAGTGAGCGGAAGTATTCCACCACTGAAAAAGAGTGTGCCGCAATTCTGTATGGAATAAAAAAATTGAAAGGGTATATAGATGGGCAGACTAAATTTTCAATTCAAACGGACCATAATCCCCTAGTATGGCTAAAAAATAATGCAGGTAGAAATGGTCGATTATTACGCTGGGCCTTAGCCTTGCAATCTTATAATTTTACGATACATCATAAAAAGGGAAGTGACAACTTAAATGTAGACTGCTTAAGTAGAAACTCTGTACATGCCAGTTAAATAGACTAGTTATCATTTCTTTTAAATTGTCTTGTTATTTGATTATGTATATTGTATTTTTTTTTTAAATTCATACTATATAGTAAATTGTTAGCTTTATTCTTAAAGACAAAAATTTTTGTTTTGGTTTTTCATATATTGTATATGTATTTTTATATGTGTTTTTTTATGATGGCCTGGTTATGAGAGTGGAGAGCCTTTGTAACAGTGTGGTTTAAAATTAACTGGTAAAATGTTGAACAATCTGTATTGAAACCAGAAACTGTGAACTGTGAAGGTTTACTTCTCCTGTGTCCGGAGAAACAAAAACTGGAGGCGGAAGGTGTTTGTTTGTAGCGAACGCCTGCCTGAACTTGTATTTTATCCTAAAAAAAAAGTTTTGTTTCCTCTGTGTCCGAGGAAAACAAAATCTGGAGGCGGAAGGAGTTAGTCTGTAAAGAACGCTTCTGAACTCTACTAGAAAAACCTATGATGCTCTTGACTAGAGAGAACGTCGTTAGCAAACTCCTCACACTACGAGTACTATAATTCATTTTAACACCTTATTTAAAGAACTGAATGGCAACGACTTAACTGAGAATTACGCATGCGTAAAGAGATGAGAGTTCTGTGAGACGCCTGTGAGAGAGAGTTTGGGAAGCTCCGCCAGCGAGCTGAGGTGTGGAGACTAAATTTGTCCGAGTGATGACGAGTGCTATCTTCGTTAACGTCTCTGATCGTGTCACCAACTCGGATATCTACTCAAGTTTTTCTAAATGTATTAATTAAATGTTGTATCTGTGTTATGTTGTTAAAAAGTGATGCATCACCACTACCAGTGTTGATTCCCACTGAAGCATCCACGACGTCACACTCCATTGACTGAACATTAAATCGATATCTTTTCTGACAAAAATGGCTTCTTTTCAAATTTAAATTATTGGAGCTGTAAACTGATAAAACTAAGAAATGATTTTTCCCTTGGGGGAAGCTGTGAATTACGTGTAACACGTCATAATCATAAAGGCAGAGTGGTGTCTCTATATTATAGAGGCCCCTAATAGATGAGCCACCATCGCCTCCTATGAAGGCACAGAGAGTTACAACCATGCCTTCTCCGAGATTCGAACCCAGGCTCTTCAGTATCGCAGCCAGGCTCCCCTAACCACTATACTGTTGGGCGGCCCAGAACCAGAGAGTTCAACAGCATATATCTTCTGTTCTATTTCATCTATTTACATAGTTTCAATGTATGTTCACAAAAAGCTACAAAATAATCATGTGATTAAATATGTAAAAAGATATTAAATCCCTATGAATTAAAAAATAATGTAATATATAATTATTAAACATAAAATTATAATAAAATAAGGCAAAAATAAATAAAAACAAAGAGACAAAGTTACAAAATAGAAAAAAAAAAAACATACAACAAAACATAAGCAAATTATGCAACCATTTGCATAAAATTCATGTTGCCAAATTTATTCGCATATTCCACCTTCCATAATCCCCCCCCCAGTTTTTGCAACATATGATTTAAAAACTTCTGATTTAGCATAGCAATGTAAAATGTATGTAAAAGTTGATGTATTAATGCAACCACCTTAGCAGAAGTTGCTAAATCTTCAAAATGTGCCAAATCTGGTACCCATGCCCATAACCATTCTTTGGCAACCATCCCCATAACAATCTTTCAGTCAAGCAATGCCACCATTTTCGTATGTGTTCTTTTTTGTTGTATTTCAAGTTCCAATGATTTTTTTATAAATAAACTGTGATATTTTTTTGCCTTAGCTTTAAAATAAGAGTTTGGGGAATTTACCAGCAATGGACGAAACTGTAGTAAAATTTCTGCAAGAATACAGAATTGTGCGGAAAATTTCCAAAGGGTACAAGGAGGATATGCATTTCTTCGATAACTGCTATTGCCGAAGATTGTGTGAAGCTGAGTCTTTACAATTCTTCGATGTTTTTAAAGAAAAACAGATTGCTATGTACTTTGAGAGAAGAATAGCACAAAAAATTAAAGAACAAATTGAAGAAGAATACAAAAGCTTTATTTTTTATGTATGACATAATTATTTACTAACTCAAATTTGTATTTTAAATTGCCACAGAATGTTTTCTTTTCACATATTGATAATGTTTATTGACTTACAATAAATATCGATACTTTAGGAATCTCTTAGAAACTGCACAAAAACCACCCAATAGGTAAACTTTACCTCTTCATCTGTAAAAAGGCATTAAATTTTGCCAAAGTGGTTGCATTAATACATAAGTACCCAAATAGAAAAGTATATTGTACACATAAAAAGAATATTATTGAAACTGATAAGCCATCTGAAATACATAATATTAGTATGCTTTTTAATGAGCTATGCTCATCATTTAAGCTATCTTTTCAAAAATAGTACACAACACTTATTTTCCCCTCACTGATTTTCAGCTTGTAAAATTAGCAGGAAAAGGGGAGGGGAATGCATGAGTAAATACGATACATAAAAAGATCTGCTGAAATTAATTTTGATATTATGCATTATCCCACCATAAAAGTTGGTAACACGGTAAAAACGTAAAAATCCTGCCAAAGTTGTGCTTATTCTTCTTCTTCTGTTGAATTCTGAACTGCGTAAATCTGTTGAATTCTGAACTGCACTTACCTGCAACTCTTGCAATAAAATATTTATCCTCCTCTCTGTAAAATCCATAAAATAGCCACTGATGTGGAAAATATTTGACCTGCTTTGTTTTTGAGGTACATAAAAAAGGTTTTCATCAATCTCTACTATTTGTTGGCCCATCACATTAGCTGGAAGCTCTAATTAAAATACTGTGGGTACAACAGGGTAATCATCCCACGGGTTCCTCCATATTTAATTGTTCTAATCAAACATGTGATCACAATCAGTCACATATGTGGCCTCGAACTGTGTCTGTAACCTTTCCAAATGACATTTTTGTCACAAATTTTCCCTTTGTTTGTTGTTTTTTTTTTCCATAGTTCTAAAAGAAAGTGCAGATATATGAGTATATTGCAATATCACACTTATTCAAAATTGGTGCTAAATCATGCTACTTGGTGACAGCTTTACACTTGATGGAACAATATTTGAGTACCTTTAGTTTAAAAATGCAAATTTTTCATGCTCATCTCTTTAAATTTTTCTAGTATGAAAATTATTGCACATACAAATATGTAATAAAACTTCACTCATTTTAAGACCTAAAAAATAACTGTATATAGAATAAATTTTATTTTTTAATATAATTTGGCTTTAAAATTGTTTTAATCAAAGTTGTAAATTAATTCGTATTATAAACTACAATTCTCTCAGAAGGTAAAATAAAAATATAAATAAATCCATTACCCACGTATAATTCCAACACCAGTCACGATACCGGCAGCTGGAACTTCTTCTGAACCATAAAGATTATAGGCAGCTAATTGTCCTATTTCTAAAAAAGGAGATCTGAAAAATAAAGATCAGAAAATAATATAATAAAAACTTTTAAAAATTTCAAATTATTTGCATACTCTCACTCATAAGAAAAAAGCTTCAAAACAAAACAATTTATCATTCTTTGCTCATTAAATTATTATGAAATAGCATTTATACATCATTTAAAAACTGATAACTAAAAACTTTAATCTAGTCTGCTTGCAGAAGTTTTACAATTTATGATCATTTAAACTGCATTTATTCTATGCTAAACAGAAAGCTATTTTTCATATTTTGGTTTAACAAAAGTATTGTTCCAAAAATCACAGAGAACGTTACAAATACAAAAGTCACAATTTTTTTTAATAATGAAATCTATCAAATGTAAATTTAAATAAAATACATAAGCAATTATTTTCTCAAACAATCAAAAAAATTTATGCTATCACTTTCCAAATGCAAATGTGAGATTAAAAACAAATGTGGCATAATTCAAGACTGGTAAAAAAAAATTACGAATACTTTTCAAAATTCTTTTGAGAGAAAGGTATAGATTATTGAACAGCGTAATAAAAGCTTAAATTTAAAGCATATGATTTCAATATTTTTCAAGTTCTGCTGAAATCTAATGGCAGACAATTAATGTTTGCACGTTTATAAAATATTTCCTTTAATTCATATATTCAGACACTTTGAAAGAAATCCATATTCAAGAATTTGTTAAAATATTTAAATATGACTTCATAAAAATTAACAAGAATTACATTAAACCTTCTATACCCAAGTAGAAAGAATTATTTGATACAAATTTTAAAAATCAAACTCACTAAAATATTTTTATATATGAAAAGTTTATATAAAAATTATACTGTTATGAATTCGAATGTATAAAGTGGCATTTAATCTTGAAAGGATGATTTTCAGTAAACCACATAGCCAGACAAGACGATAGGCATGTTCAACAGAAGACAGTTCTACAGACTGAAACAAGGTATGGAGAAGGCCACTGGCTAAAGCTCAGAAAATTAAATGATCATCCAAGGTTCAGTTTCAACCAAACGAAAAGATTGACTGCATGGGATTTTTGTGATTTTTCCCATATGTAATGTAAATGTAGAGTAATTTCACTTAAAAAGGCATTTTTTGCCTTAAGCTAGCAAAGGCAAATCTTTAAGTTTGATATGGAAAAAGTAATAATTCTCTATATACATTCATTTGTTAAGAACACGCTCAAATCACGTGAAGTAGTATATATTGAAATATCAAATAATTACAAATTACAAAAGTAAAAAATATTGGTACAGCTCCAGGGATTATAAAGTATTAATCACTATAAAACAGGTGTTAAAAAAATGGTTTCTTATAAAAAAACAGTTATCTTTTCTGATTATCCACTTACCCCTCTCCAAAGTATTCACAAAGCAATGCATTATGTCAGCGAAACAGTTATGTGGACCCCCATGTATGGACATAGCCGCCGTGCACTCAGATTTCCACCTTTCAAATCCGACAATATTTTTCTAATTAGTACTTTTGCATTAAGTAATTTTTCCCCATAACAAATCATAATGGCCACATGATCAACAGCAATGAAAAAAGAAAAAAAATGCAGAGAAATTTCTTGAAAAGAGTCAGATTTGGTTAGGGATGTTTCTTGTTTTTTTAATGTTATCGATTCATAGCTCTTCTATGGAATTCTTGGTGCAACTACCAATAGCTGTTGCCTTTCGTGAAAAATTAGTCACCAAATTAGTCAGATAATCAAAAAGCACGAAAATAATTGTAGATAACATATTAAAAAACAGAAAACTGAAATTATAAAAGCAGAAAAATTAAATATTTATAATGTACAAAATAATATGCAGTCTATAACTGTGCTTGAAATAATATTCTAAAAATTACCCTAATTTTGAACTGAACTGAAAAGAATTCTGAATCATATTGCATTTGTTATTGTTAATATCAATTAATGATCTTTATGTAGCTGAATCTTAGTGAATTAAGTTTGAAAGTAGACAGCCATTGTAGACAGGCATAATTCATTAACCTCCATTACAAAGATTTCCATAACATATTGTTGTGAAATGCCCAGCTGTGCTGAGAATGCTTTCCCCCAAAGCAGTTTTATGGTTGCCAGGTTTGCCATAAAATTGCCCATTTGGCAACAAAATTGGCGACATGCCATACATAGGCCAACAACATTCTAGAACGTATTCTCAGGGATTTCCTCTGGAAAATTCTTGAAAGTAGGTTAAAGATATATATAACCTGCCCATCCTGGGAGAAAGTAGTATCTTGAGTAATGCAGTAGTAGCAACCTGAGTTCAGAGATTAGCTTGAGAGCAATCGACCGAGTCAGGAGTTCTACTTTAGTACTTTGCCGTGAAACTGCCATTATAGTTTATAGCCTGAAGACTGTGTTGCTGACTGTTTCAGCATTTTTATCATAGTTTTTCAATGACTGTGACATGTCTTTGGAACTGTTCTGCGTGATACTGGTGAATAAACTGGCTGAAGAAAACTATGGCAGAGGAAATGAAGGCTTTGATGGACTTGTTAGCAGCTGTTGGAGCTGGACAAGAAGAGATGAAAGCCAGACAAAAGATGAAGGCCGAGATCAAGACCGAAATAAAATCAGGTCAAGAGATAAAAACCGGAAAAGAAAAGTTGCAAGAGCAACTCCAATGGATGGAAGTGGAGCAAAACAAGATTAGAAGCGACATCGTGGAGCTTAAAGAGGAAATGGAAGCCAAAACAGAAGATGTAGAAATGACAGTAGTGGCATCTGAAGAACCAAACGGCAAAGAAATGAAGGAAGTAGTTGGTGAAATGTCTGAGAAAGATCAAGAAATGGAGGATGAAACATCTCACGAAATTTTTTTTTTTTTAATAAAAAGATGAAGAAATGAAAGACAGGAAAGAACGTTTTGATTCTCAAGTGCCTGAACTGAAAATTAAAGAAAATGATAATCCACAAGACAATACACCCACTTCACAAACTAATTGTGTTTCTCATACAAGTTGCACAGACACTTTTCTGTGGATGAAAAATCTGAAAGGACTGAATCTTCAGACTGTGGTACATAAAACAGAAATACATTTTAAAACTGCGGTGAAAAAATAATTAACCAGGGTATAACTTAATGAAAAGCCTGAAACTGAAATTCATTCTGAACTTCAATTTCCATAATTTTAAATTGTTATGTGGTTAAATAGTGTACATAATTTGTAAGTAGTTACTTGTAAACAAGGTAACTATTTGTTTCTTTTATTTTTTTTTTTACTTTATTTTTTTGTTTCCAGCCCAAAGGGGCAACTTTCCCAGAAAAGCTATTAATAATTATGTTTTGGCATTTTGTGTCATCCACTATAAAATGGCGTTTTACTTTCCAAATTGTTGTTACCAAATATTAGAACCCTGAATTATATTTAAAGAAATTACATAATTAAATAATGAAAAATCTGCATGAATGTATGTATGTTTCGCGCATTTTGAAGGAAAAAAAAAAAAAAGAATGATATCTAGAGACATCAAATTCTGAATAATGTAGTTCTCCACTCAAAAATGGGCACCTGGAAGACCAAATTTGGAATTTGTTTTATTATCTATTTCATATTTTGTAAAACTTTAATGAATTTTTTATTAACAAACTCAACAATTTCAAAGCAAGCAATGGTGACATTGTACGGGGGTAAAAAATTTATCTAAGGTGTAAGGTTGCCAGAAAGTGGCAGGGAAAGACAGAGTTGCCAGATTCGCAGCAAAATAGCCCATTAGGCCACAATATTGGCAATATGCCATAGATGGTGCGAGAGAATTCTAGAACGCATTCTTACTGGTTTCCTCGGGAATATTCTAAAGCTGTACATACCTTGGCTATTGTGGGAGAAAGTTGCATCTCAAGTAGCGTAGTAGTAGTGTCTTGAGTTCAGAGATTAGCTTGAGAGCTATCAACCGAGTCGGAAGCTGTACTTTAGTGCTTACCCATAAAGTTGTCGTCATCATTTTAGCCTGACGGCTGTGTTGCTGATTATTTCAGTGTTTTTATCGTAGTTTTCTAAAGACTTTAAATGTATCTTTGGAACTCTGCTGTGTGATACTGATGAATAAATTGTGTTTTGATTCTTCATCAAGTGTTATTATCAATCATTCAAAATCCACGAATCTGCAGAATGCAACAATATGGTACACTTACACCATATTGTTTCCATACAAGGCAAACTTCATGAGAGGGCAAATAATTTATATAGAAAAAAACACGAAACTTGATCATAAGAAGTATAATTATTGCTGTACTAAGCAATAAAAAACAGGAAGCTTTTGATTTTTTTAATAAAATTCATTACCCAGTATCAATGAGATTTGCTATCCTTTCTCTAACCAGCATCTTGCCTTTGGATGTGTGGCGGGAAATGGCTTTCTCACCCCCACCTAAATTCACAAACAAACAAACAAAAAGTGAGAGCAAAATAATTTTAAGGAAGTATAAACTAGTAATTTAGGCAAAATGAAATTTCCACCTCCAGCAAATACTTTCAAAATGTATTTTAGGGGATTTTTTCATTCAAGGTCTGATAAATTTTATAGAATTTTTCACATGATTCAGTATAAATCCAAAAGTTCATAAAAGTTACTAATTTGATATACATTATAAATTAAACCTATTACAAATTATGAATTAGACATGTTATTAAAGATAAATTAAAACTATCAAACTAATAACACATTTGTTTATTATTTTTATATAATTACATTATTTAAGCAATTTCAATCAGAATTTGAAAGATAAAAGATCTCATAAAACATATGCCTGTGGTTATGGATATATTATAGAGACATCTGCTGATAATCCAGATGTCTTCAATGGGATTTATATCCTGAGAAATAGCAAGCAAAAACATTCAAATCATACCTTTACTTTCAACAGCATATCAACAGCTATAGTTCAATGGTAAACAATGTCAATAGCTATCGTATTTGAAGATAAACTTGGGCATCAACGATACTTCAGAAAAGATGCAAATGCAACAAAATTATCTCACTACATCATCATTCAATGGTTACAGCACCAACTTCCATTATCAGTAGTTCCTTATGTTCATTTAATATAATAACTTCTCCAAATAAGAATACCTTGATTGGGATATAGATTTCTTTCAGTAATATTTGCAGGATGGTACACTGACTATAAATAAGTATTTGGACACCTATGCAAATGACGATATCTACGGTCCTAAGGTAGGTCACGGTCTCCGCCGGTATATATTGTGTAGGAAACAGCATCGGCTTTAGTCGCATGCAAGATGCCTCGCAGTTCGAAGCTTTCTGATTTCGAGAAAGGTATAATTATCGGGTATCACAAATGTGGCCGATCCATAAGGGACATATCTAGCGCTCTGAAGTATCCAAAATTGACAGTGGCCTATGTGATTAAGAAGTGGAAGGTGAGCGGTGATTGTCGGAATGTGCCCCGAGTCGGCAGACCAACGAAACTGGGAAATAGAGACCGAGGAGTGCTGTCCAGAGAAATTCGGAAGAACCGCACCCAACCAATCGCCCTCATCCGCGAGGAGTTTCAACAGTCATCCGGGAGTATTGTTTCAATGAATACCATCCGTAAGGAAGCATATCTGCTTGGTTTTCATGGTCATGCTGCTGCCCATAAGCCTTTGATCACAAAGTCCAACCGCGCTGCTCGGTTAATGTGGTGCAAAGCACATCGAAATTGGACTGTAGAGATCAGTGGAAATGGGTTCTTTGGAGCGATGAATCAAGGTTCACCCTTTACCGTTCGGATGGCAGGGTCTGGGTCTGGAGTCTACCTGGAGAACGTCTCTTGCCAGAATGCATTGTGCCAACAGTCAAGTTCGGCGGAGGTGGAATTATGGTCCGGGGTGTTTCTCCTGGTATGAGCTGGGACCCTTGGTCTCCATTCATGGTAAGCTCAACTCCAATGCCTACTGCACTATTTTGGATGACAATGTACTTCCTACATTGTGGCAGTTTTACGGGTTGGACCCCTGTTACTTTCAGGACGACAATGCCAGTTGTCATGTTTCGACGTTAACCAAGGCTTGGTATGGGGCCAATGGAATTCATCGAATTGACTGGCCTGCCCAGAGTCCAGACCTGAACCCTATCGAGAACCTCTGGGATGAGTTGCATCGCTGAATTCAGGGGGTGCACTACCCATGCAAAATCGGTGAATGAACTTCTATGTCTTCTCCAAGCCGAGTGGAAGAAAATACCACTAGCTGTGATACAAAGACTTGTGGAAAGTATGCCCCGGAGGGTCCACGCTGTAATTACCTCTCGTGGAGGCTCTACCAACTATTGATTTTGAATAAAGTTAGTTTTTCTATTCTATCACAGGTGTCCAAATACTTATTGGTAGTCAGTGTATCACATATCAACCTCTCCAGCAATCAAGCCTAAAGTTGAATTTATTTACATAAGTAGAGAGGGACTTATCCCAATGTGTTGTAACATCCAATTGATCCCATAAAATGATATCAAGAGCAATACTGAACTTAATAGACATAATCCTCATATGTCAGCTCTAAAGTTTGGTACCTGTATTTTGTTGATTATATTTTGTAAATCAAATATTATTGACAATTAAATATAACATTAAATAAACACTTTTTTCCTAATTTTAACAAATTTAATTAATTATTAAATAACTTACTTAAACTAAAAATAAACAAATTATGAAAACTTTCAAAGAAAATTTTCAAGTGGGACTTAGGAACTCCAAAACTTGGGAATAAATAATAACAAACTAGTCTATTTTATTTATTAAATTGTTCTTAAATGCATAAATAAAAGTATATACTTTTGTTTGTAAATAATTAAAAACTTCTTTATTTCTAACAACAGTTTGACACTTGATAGCATTTCAATTCTGATAAAGTTTGTAGCCTTGGAGAGAAATTACTAGAAATTGTCTTTATCAAGGATTGTAGATGCTCATCAGTTAATTGGATTCTTTAGTTATTAATTTTCTTCAAGTAAGGAGAAAAAAATGTTTACATATAAAGGTATTCACAAGTAAACTGATTTTCTTAGTGCAAAAATTTGTATCTGAGCTTAATTTTTTGATGGATAAAAATAACAGTTAACAAAATTTGTATCTTCAAATCTTTGAATATTATCTTTGAAACTCCAGATTGTTTAAAGGGTTGTATAAAAAAAATTAACAATTTTCACAACACATTACTTCTGTTTATGGATACAAGGTCATGGAAAAAAACTTATGCAGCTGTTAGAGCAAGGGAATTCAAGATCATATTTTCCATTTTGCTTCAAAGTTTCATGACACTGATCAGCTTTAAAGTTATCAGAAGTTCTTGAATATTTATTAGATATTTTTCTATTAAATGAACTACTAAGAACTACAAAAGAGTTTAATTGCAGTTTTGTGAGCTTTTGGAAAATGTGTGTTGAAAGAGCTGAGACAGAAGTTTTTTAAACTGTGTACAATTTTTTACATGAGAATGATCTTCACCTATCCCAAAATGTGAAAGAAAAGTCCTTTTGTATGCACACTCTTCAACGGAGACAAGAAACAGTTGAATTGTTTATTCTTTCAAAGACGAATTCATACAAAAAGTTAATCCATTTATCAAAGAAAAACAGCAGTTAACCAAACTTTCAACAAAGTTGCCTTTAATTTCTGATTTCAAATGAAAACATTTTAATATTTTCTGCACAGATACCAGTGAGGAATATGCACAACACAGTGAAAAGGCACTTTAATACATCAGTGCTATTTTGGTAGACGGTTGCACGGATTTTTGGCGATTTGCGTTGCCGCAATTGTTGGTGCAGTTTTTACAATCGTCAGCCTTCTTGAAAAATGCTGTTTTTACGTATTTTACGCATAGTAAAGTATTCGAAACTTTAAAAAAAATAAATATCGTTAAAAATAATTGATTAACTTTTTGTTGAAAATGTTGTTTTTTAAGATGGCAGGCAAATGTGAATAAATACATTTACTATGAATAAAAATACTAGAGTAAGGTTAAATTATTTCATATAGCAAAGAAATAGAATAAAAACATTGCACCAAAATTTAACTAGATTAAAATATTACTTAAATTGAATATCGAATTAAAAACATCATACTAACTTTTAAAAGGATTAAAATATTACTAAATTGAATATCGAATTAAAAACATCATACCAACTTATAAAAGGATTAAAATATTACTTAAATTGAATATTGAATTAAAAACATCATACCAATGTTTAAAACAGTCAAAATATTACTTAAATTCAAATCCTTTAAAACAAGTTTTATAGGATATAATTATTTAACATTAAAACATATGTGGCAATAAATATCTCGACAATTTTTGAAAACTGTGTATTAAATTAAAAAAGTATACAATTATAAAGTAAAAGAAAAATATGTACTTACATTTTGAGTATTTAACCTGTCGCATATTGATAAGTACCACAAAAAATTCGTAATCATAATTTAGATATCAATGAAAAAATTTGAAAATGTAATATAATTTAAAAAATGTAATCTAAGGAAAAAAATTTGAAAAATATAATCTAAGGAATTCGAAGAGATGAATAATAAAATTTTAAAATGGCGCGGTAAGGCGCAAATATTCAGTAACCAATCAGGGAGCTGATTACAGCTTGTTAATGCACAAATATTCTGTAACCAATCAGGAAGCTGATTACATCGCGAATAGAATTAAAATTATTTAAATAATCATACATAATAAAATAATTTTTAAAAATGCAAAATTAAATTGTATTTTAATGTTTAACAGCCATAAATAATGTTTAAAACATTAGATTAAATTTATACATATTAAAACCAATTACTTTTAAAGTAATGTGGTGTCATTCATTACATCATCCACAACATAAAATATCATAAACAATAAAATTTATTTCAAATAAAAACACAAAATTAAATTGATTTTTAATATTTAGAAGCCATAAATAATATTTAAAACACAGAATTTATGCATAATAAAACGCATTATTTTTTTAATAAAATGACAACAAAGCATCCGTTACCATAAATAACTTGTCTAGCAATGGGTTTACCATAAGTCATATCATTCGCAAAAAAAAAAAAATCGCCAAAATCCGTGCAACTGTCTACCAAAGCAGCACCAATACATCTTGTTGTTTTCTAGTACTTGAAACAGTGGAACAAGCTTTCCCTTTCACATCTTCATAAACAAAACAAAAAATTAGTATTGTAGTAAGCTTAATGCAAATCCATATATAACTTGAAACTTTTGAGCACAAAACTGTTTTAAAATACAATTTCATGAGTTCAATGATTTCAGTAGTGACGTTTCTATATAACAAATATTATAATCTTCTCAAATAACACAAATAAACATCATTAATACATTAAAAGTTTGTTAAGTGCTAAATATTCAATAATTAACATGAATTCATATTCATTTCTGTTACAAATGTTTTAAAATTAAATCTATAATTTGTACTTTTAATGTTGCAATTTTACTTCACTAACCCTTTCTCTACTTTTACAATTTTATGCTAATATAAGCATTGAACATAAGTATAAATGCTTTAAAAAGAAGCTTATTTTAAAAACAAAATGCAAAATTTATAGAAATTGTTTTAAAAGAGGTGCACAAGTGGGAAAACACCTGAAAATAATGCTTCAAGGCATTTTGAAATATGATAAAGCAAATAAAAATAGATTCAAAGAAAATAAAATGAACTCTGGGAGAAATTTCAAGGTACGATAAATCAAATAAAAATAATCTTTGGTAAAATTTCATTCAGCTCATACAACTACCTTGGGAAATCTTGTATACAACTTGCTTTAAATCATTCACTAAGGCTTGCATTTTTGAATAATTCTCCTAAGAAATTAAAATAAAAATAAAGTTTACAGCATAAGTTTATTCATTCATTACGCTAAAAAATAAAAATGTTTTGCATTGTTTAAATCAATATCAAAACATAAAAAAAATGTTAACATTATATCAATAGATGTTTTTGATTGTTTGTTATTACAATGAAACTCAAGCTTTTGTTTGAAAGGAAATAAAAAAACAATAATTAAAAATCTACTTTATAGTTAATGATGAATGTGTATGCATGAATTACAGAAGAAAATGTAGAAACTACACATGACCTTTTAATAATTTTTAAAATAAGAATTACATGTCCATGCACAAGAACTTAAAAATCTAGATGTTTTAATACAAAAGAAGAGACAAACTAGACAATTAGTATCAAATTTGAAAGATCTAATATTGGTTATCAAATGGGTACTCTTATATGCACCCTCAGGTCGCCGAATGTGGCAATATGTGTTCTGTGCTGGTTTTTGGCACGACTACATGTTCTGCAATGGTTTGGGGGATGATGTTGACTTTAGTTTTCCTTATGCAAATTTTGGTTGCGGCTGATTGGCCGATGATGTCAAGATCGGCGGGTTGGCCATGTATGTCTATATGTACGCCGGTATCGGCAAATGTGTATGTGTTCTGAGTTAGTATTATACTAGTTTTCTTTTCCTCAAATGGTTTTAAATGTAAAGGCTACAGTGTTAGCTTATTTTATTTTAATTTACGGAATAAAGTGTGAATTTTATTTAGATTAGTCTTAGCTTTATTTAAAGGAAGAAAAATATGCTTTGCATATATCCACATTACCTAGAGGGTTTTGGGCTCAGCACCAACAGCTAGCCTGTTACCCAGCTCAACTCAGCATTGAAGGAATGTAGGTGAAGAGAGCCGTTATCCACGAAAAGAAGCTGACCTGTCTTAGAAGTTTGTTCAAGTTGTTGTGCTCACACTTAATTGCAGATGTCATTACTACCTGAAGGTTTTGAGCCTGTTAAACCATGACAACTGGGATTGATGGAAAGTCGATATGAAAATGCTGTTACTGGATAGAAATTGTTGGAGCTTCATAGAGGACAAAGGTAAAAGTGCAACAAGGCGTGAAAAGCAGGACTTCACATTGATAGAGAATAGAGCCTTCATTACATTATACAGTCAAAAGTCGTTAATTCGGACACCCATAATCCGGAATGATCTATAATCCGGACCTCAAAGCTACAAACTTTCTGCGCATGCGTCGCGTTGACGCATGTGCGTAAGACCTTTACCGCTGCTAATTTGCGTGTGCGCGTGTGCAAAATACGTTTACGAATGCGCGTTTAATGTATAACGGACGGGATAAGCTAAGCTAAAATTATCTAATTATCTATTTCAGTTAATGTTGCAGATTGCGTTGTTCCTTAATCTTCGAATTGGATCCGGATTATTATTTTTTGCAGACTGTTAGAGCAATTTTATAAAAGTAAGCTTGAACTTTCGATTATGTCAAATAGAATTTCCGATATATATTTACTAATATGTAAAGGATATACAAAGCGAAAGTATCTTTCGGAGTCCATTAAACAAAAAGTGGAATTGCTGCAAAAAATGGATAAAGTTTATCTAAACTTTGTTTATCTTTAACGCTGCGGCGGCGAGCATTGAATTGGAAGTTGATCTGTCAACACTATCCTTATCTTAAGGGCAGATGTTTTTATTTTATTTGGCTTATAATTGCTTACTCAATGTAGTATTTCATCTCGTCTTTGATATGATTTAAATCAAATGCCTCGTCATTATAATTCGCTTCCGATAGCGAAGAAAGTGACAGAGGTTATTGAAAACGAAAAAATTTCGATTGACAAATTAGTCGGTATTCTCGACACAGCAATTATAGGACTTGAACAGCGGAACTTTGTAACTGAACAAGAAATTATGTCTGTTTATAGAATTAAAGAGAATGTATTATAACATAAAAAACGAAGCAACTTAAACAACTTACATTGAAAGAAATGTTTAATAAAGTAAACAAATAAATATTAAGCTTTTTTTTTTTTGTAAATTTTGATACCCTTTAGATCATAATTGTTCTTTATTTCGTAAATTACGGTTTCATATTTTTAATTTTATAATTTCTGCATGCCATTTTACCAGATTTAAACTGATGATCTATAATCCGGAAAAATCGATAATCCGGAATCGCCGAAGTCCCGACGAGTCCGGATTAACGACTTTTGACTGTATTATGGAATTAAAACTTGAGTTCAGGCCACTGATACAAGAATGCTCAAGTGGTAAAGAAGCATGGGAAGTTCTACAGAAGCAATTCGAACTCAAAACAAGAGCAAGGATAATTCAGTTACTGGATGAATTTTTTAGCATTAGATATACACCAAATGAAGAAATAGGGTTATTCATCGTGAGGATAAGAATGACTGCAAAGAAGTTGGCTGAAGCTGGACACAACTTGGCAGATCTTTTTAAAGGATTTCAGGCAATAAGGAGATTACCCCAGGAATACTCCGGCATTGTACAGTTGATCTATAGGTGGAAGGACGAAGATTTTACGCTGGAAAAAATTGCTGAAGAACTGTTAAGGGAAGAAAGCCAACTTTGTCAGGTAAATGCTTATTTAGAAGACAGCAAGTTAAGCATGTTTAATACTATTAGTTCAAATGCAGGGAAAGGTAGAGTTGAAAATAAAACTAAATCTAAGAAAAAAAATGGGGAATATGAGAATAGGACCTTGTTTCAGATGTCATAAATTTGGACACATAATCGCTCAATGTAAAGAAAATGTAAGTAAAAATCAGAAGTTTAAAATAGACAATAAAAATGGACAGTTTAAATATAAAGAATTAATGTTAGTAGAAAATTACGTAACAACTACAGATAAAGTAGGTAGTGCAGATAAATTTAACTGGGTCATAGATACTGCAGCTACAACTCATTTCTGTAATAATAGAAATTTAATGATAAATTTTGAAGAAATAAGAAAGTAAAGTACAAATTTGCAGTAAAAGTAGGCAATCGAATAAATTGGATTGAGTTAGATAATGTGTTATATAATATAAATCTAAGGAGAAATTTACTATCGGGAGCAAGGTTAGAAAAGGCAGATGCTCATTTTGTGATTTCAAAATGGAAGATGTGGATATACTTTAATAATTGGGATAGATTATGCTACAGTAAACAATATGACGGACTTTATCACGTAAAACCATTTAGATATGCAACAGATAAAAAGGAAGCTGGTTACGGTACAGAAATTGGAAAGTTAAGTAAAGTAGACGATGTGATGCTATGGCCACATAAATTTTGATTATATTAAGAATACTAGTAAGAATCAAAGCATGAAAGGGTAACCAGAAATTGAAAAACCAATGAAGAAGTGTGAACCTTGTATTTACTTGTAGAATAACTTTTAAAACTGTTCCGAAGAAATCGGATAAACCATTACAGTTGGTTTATTTAGATGTTTGTGGCCCACTCCCAGTTTCATCTAAGGGTGGGAGTAAATATTTCCTCGCTATTGTGGATGACTTTAGTAGATTAGTAACAGTGTATTGTATGAAAAATAAAAATGAATCGTTCTACAATTTTAAGAATTATGGGTACTATTCCGTTTTGAGTACCGTAAAAAATTGCAGCGAAAATGTATACGCAAAAGCGCCAATCTAACAAATGCGGCCGTTTAACAGCGCACCAAATCTAGCGTACACGCTGATTTCAGATTGCGTAAGTTTAGATAGTTCTATATTTCTTAAGATGCCATTGAAATACTAGTTTCATTTTTAAATCCTTTTTTAATATCCTACAGATTTAAAAATTTGGGAATTGCCCATGACGAAAAGTTTGCAATAGAATTTTTTCATCAAAGAAAAGGCATCATTCATTGTGGAAAATTATGTTTGAACAACCAACGAGATGAAATTATACTTTAGCGATAACTAGCAAAACAGCAAAGCAGGAATCCATTTAGTTATGTTTAGCCATTTTTAATATAAATTATGATAATGATCTGAAATAGTTATTTACTCTTATGCTTCCATTCAGTTATGGATTTTTATATAAATTATAATAATAAAAAAGCATTATATGAAATTAACCTTTCATATCAATTAAAACAATAATCTTTAAATAGTTATTTACTATTATACTTCCTTTCTTGCATTAAGGTAGCTGCAATTATTTTTGGCAGCACTGGCTCAACAATAGTTTGGCGATTTTTTATGGTCCTCAAAACAGAATAGTACCGAATTACATTAGGCAAAAGGAAAGACTGACGAATTGAAAATTAATAAGTATACACACCGATAATGGTGGAGAATTCTGTAACAGGCAATTCAAAGGGTAATTAGCCAAAAATGGAATTAGTGTTGAATGCACAAACGCGTACACCCCAGAAGTGAATGGTGTGTATGAACGTTTTAACCAAACGGCATTAGACACATTTAAAGCTATGCTTAATGATCGTAAAATGGGAAAAGAATGGTGGGAAGAAGCTCTTGGCTGTTTCATACATAAGTGGAAAAGAGTATGTTATAAAAGCAACCGAACCCCTTATGAAATGTTCCTAAAAAGAAAACCTAGTGTTGTTTATTTTAAAGTATTTGGTTCTAAAGCCTAAGTTGGCATGCCAAAACAGATTAGAAATAAATTACAAATGACATGCAAAGAAGGAATCGTGGTAGGATATGGGAAGGATGGTGTATTTAATTATGGCAAAGCACACCAGGGCTATCTGCCTAAGAGGAGGGATACCTTTGTGGAGGACTTTCTAAGGGAAACTGGCTCGTATACACATTACACATGGGGAAACCACGAAAACACCCAGGATATGGGAAAGAAACTAGGGGTTATAGGATATGGCTACCAGAAGAACGCAGATTAATAGAAACCTGTAATGTGAAGTTTGATGAAAAACTGAATACAGCAAATGGCATCCTGGACCAGAAATCAAAAACTAAGTTTAAAAGACTAGAGGAATCTGAGCTATTAGCACAAAGCGGCCGTGAATGGTTTTGTGAATTTGAAAGTACTTTAGAAAATCTACATGTTAAGAAAATACAATGGTGTACTTGTGTTTATAAGAGTTCAAATGTAATTCTCTTGTTATATATTAATTGTTATATGTAGATGATATTGTAATTTTTAGTAAAGATCAATATAGTAAAGATAAAGTAATTTCACAGCTGAGTAAGTTTTTTTATCTTAAAGTATTAGGCAAAACTAAAACGTTACTTGGAATTAAATTCATAAAGAACGAGAATGGGGTTTTTATACAGCAGCAAAAATATATTGAAGAAATTTTTGAAAAATTTAAACATTTCCAGATACCAATAACTTTACTTCCCATAGCTAAAGGCACTATTCTTACAAAATTAGATTTTCCATCTAAAAGTGCAGAAATTGCAGAAATGTGTACATTACCCTTTAGAAATCTGTTGGGATGTTTAGTTTTTGTAGCTAACAGGACAAGGCCTGATATTAAATATGCAGTGAATATCTTATCACAATTTCAGGAGAATTAAGCATTGGGAAGCATTGTTGAAATTGCTCGGTTATCTCAATAGTACTAAATTATATAAATTAAACTTATCGAAGATTAAACATCTAAATTTATATTGTTATTCAGATGCTGATTATGCAAGTAATAGGGATGACCGCATGTCTGGGAGGATTTATATGATATTTAGATAAAGCACCATTAATCTGGAAAACTGTTAAAAATGTGTAAGTTTATCAACCATTGAAGCGGAGTACACTGCCTTATCGGAGGCAGCGAAGGAATTAATGTGGACGAAAAACGTCTTACAAGATGAAATTTTAAAGTTTAATTTAAAAGAATGTAAACTATTTTGTGATAACAAGTCTGCCAATGATTTTTCTAGATCGTCATAGCACATAGACATAAAATATCACTTTATTAGAAGACTATTAAATGATGGAGTGTTTGACCTTGAATTTATCACCAGTAAATTAAATACTGTGGACTTATTTACATAAGTGTTGACTGTTGTTAATTTAAGGAAGTTTTGTTTGGATGTTTTCACTGTTTAAAGACAATAGGTGTTTTCGTATAATAGAATTGAACTATGAGCTTCTGTAATTCTGTGTAAGTTTTGTTTTCGTCTTTGCATGAGGAAAAGAGAGTCGGTGTTGACCTTAGTTTTCCTTATGTAAATTTTGATTGGAGGTCAATCAGCGGTAAGTTAACGTGGTTGCCGCTGATTGGCCGATGACGTCAAGATCGGCAGGTTGGCCGAGTATGTATGTATGTATGCCGGGTATCGGCAAATGTGTGTGTTCCAAGTTAGTATTATACTACTTTTCTTTCCCTCAAATTGTTTTAAATGTAAAGTCTACAGTGTTAGCTTACTTTATTTTAATTTATGGAATAAAGCATGAAGTTTATTAAGATTTGTCTTAGCTTTATTTAAGGGAAGCAAAATATGCTTTGCAAATATCAACACTACCAAGAGTTTGTATGGCAACCCTTTTGACATTGAAACTTACTCTTCAACTGCAGTGGTTTTGTTTGCTCGTTGTTTAGTGTCGGGCACGTTTGAAATGGTATGTTGCAATTAAAGACATGGTGGGAAAATTTCAGTCCTGTATTTTAGATTGTGTGCAAAGTCTTAGTATTAAAAGGTATGATGTTGGAGTTGTTAACGAGTCTCACTCAGGGGGGTGTTTATGCAGACCGAAGCGTATTTTTGGAATTTCTGTGGGAGTCAGGACTTCTGTTGTTCATGGGTTTGTTTATGTGGGTCGAAGCGTATTTTTGGAATTTCTGTGGGAGTCAGGACTTTTGAAGCGGAGTTTGTAATGTTCGAAATACAGAGCTGATACGAGAAGTCGTACAAAGAAGGGCATTTCTGAAAGACTTGTGTGGGTTTGCAGGCAAATGGTTGCTGGTAAAGTATGTGGCTGTCAGCTGAGTTTTAAGATTTGGATTGTAGTTTTTGTGTAGCAAGTTAACTTTGGAAGAAGTTTTTATCAATATCTTCGGAATTCTGAATCGCAGAAAGATGTGTGATATTGCTCTCATATAAATATATATATATATATATATATATATATATATATATATATATTCCAAAGATCAGCTAATTTTAAGTATCTGTTAAAAAAAAGGTTCAAGTTTTTTGTGTACTACAAAAGCAAATACAATGCAATTCTTAATGGAAAAATATAGTATATTATAAATATAACTTTACCATGAATTCAGCAGAATGCCTGTCCGGTTCAGAGCCAATGACCGAAAAACTGTCCGAATGATATGCTCTGTTAAAAATATTAAAGCGTTTAAATACAGATATTTCATTTTGTGTGAATACATTCCTAGTGATTTGAAAATTCAAAGATTTCCCAAATATATGAGTAAGATTCATCTTCCTCAGCAAATACAGAAAATAAACAAATCAATATATTAATCTAACATTCCAACTACAGTTTAAGAAATTCGCCGTTCGAAGTCTTTCTGCCCGTAGGGCGAAAATTCATGCTGGGACGACGAAAAAAATTTTTACACTAAATAACAAAATAAAAGGTTTTTCTGGTTTTGCTACTAAAATATAAGGAACGCTTTTAGTAATTTTTTGTAATTCGGAGTCTGAGGATAGATATATCAATTTTACTGGCAGCGAATGTATTAATATATGCGGAAAGGCAACAAGTCGTTATTTAGCACATAATAAATAAAGGAAATGTGAATGGCAACTATCTTACCACCGTCCGCCACCGTCTAACCAAAGAATGTCTAAGTATTATTCTTTGCTCTCTATACCTTTGGAATAGTACATATTCTTTGGTCTAACCAAGGAGGTTAACGGACTGACGATGTTCTTTACGTAGATTATAATCTCATTTGTATTTGCCGCTGATAAACCAGCAAATAATTCATTATTGGTATTGGCAACTATCTTCATTTTCTTGTTTTCTTTCATTCCTGTCGCTGAGCTCTTAGAAACTGGACAGGAATTTTTTCGCTCTTGCTTCTTTTGGAGGGCGCCTTGGAAAGCAGCTTGTTTTGATTTTGATTACGATTTACTCGGGCTTGTTTTCCCTTCCTGGGATTATGGATTGGTAAGACCTTTTTTTTGCTTGTGCTTTTGCTTTTTTGCTTTTTTTTGCTTGTCTCTGAAAATGATTTTAAGGCAGATTGTCTGAATACACAACAGGGGATTGAAGCGTTTAAATTACTAATTCATGATTTTGATGCACAAAATCTCACTGTAAATTTCATAACTGCATGCATATACAAGGAACAACTAATTGATAAGCAAGACAAATTAGTTAACCCGATTAATATTAAAAATAAAAATTATGTGATAAAATCATTAGCAATCTGAGACCGAAAAACACTGAGAGCAATCAAATAGTAAAACTACTAAAGAAAAAAGTACTGAAAAACAGATCTCTAGACAGAGTCGTAGCTAGGGTTTTCTGCACCCAGGGACAACTGAAGGTTTCGTGCCCCCTACTGCTTGCCAAGGATGGAAAACATTTAATTCTAAAATGTCGTGACATCAGTTTGCCGCCTGGGGACAGATGCCCCTCCTTGCCCCCCTCTAGCTATGCCCTTGTCTCTAGATCAGCTGGGAACAGCCCAGTTAAAAGTAAGAATAGCGAAATCCGAAAAAAGAAACGTATCACCACTGATAGCGAGGGATTCAAAACGCCTCATCTCGCACATAAGAGAAATTTCGCCGATACTGAAATCACCCCCTTTAATAAGTATGAAAAACTCACTAACGATGATAAAATGGAATCCAATAATGAAGGATTTATCTATCCTAAAAAGAACGCAACTAGTGTACCTCCAATTGTACTTCAAGATTTGACAGCAAATTGGGATAAAATGAAAGAGGAGTTCGAATCCTTAGGGGTTAGCAAAATTAAAGGAAACCTAATCCATCAGGAAATAGCGGATATGGGCATTCCTAAAGGTTAAGCAAGTCCAGAAATACATAGATGGTCAGGTGGTCAAATTACCAGTGTTTGTGGCGGAAGCCAAACGTTCCCTGGAAGGGAAGAAAATCCTCGATATTAAAACCCTTAGAGGGCTAGATATTATGATGGGCACTTACAAAAGCCACCCTGGCCCTGTGCAGTGCCACAGATGCTAAAGATATGGGCATATCAAAGATCACACTGTCATTACAAACCGAGGTGCCAGAAGTGTGCAGGGCTGCACGAAGGCTACACATGCAAGCAGGATAAGGCTAGATTGCGGTACATTCTTTATGATGAAGGTTAATGGATTGTGATCAGTTATCAGTTCCACAGGTGATCCAAAAATCCAAGTTTCAAACTTTTTCTAGCTCCAAATAACAGCATAAGCTTCCCTCTCGATAGTTGGCCATGCTTTTTGTGTTTTGGCTAGTTTCTGGCTGGCGTAACTAATTGGGTACAACTTTCCGTTTTTCCGTTCCAACACCTGTTGAAGATGCATCACATTAAATTATAAAAGGTAACCCTGGAACGGATGTAAAGATTAGGTGCTAATTTATCGAATGCTTCGTCGTGTTTTTCTCTCCAGCACAGCTCTTCAGGACTTCTTTTGGTGAGCTGGGTTAATGGATAAGCTGTTTCGGCATAATGTGGCATGTAATCTCTGTAATAATTACAAAGGCCTAGAATGCTTTTCAATTGTTTCTTTGTTTGAGGTCTAGCTAATTTAGCTCTAAGATCAGTGTGATGTCTACCTGAACCGATAATATGTCCTAGATACTTAATATGAGTTTTAATGAAGGAACATTTCTTGAGATTTACGGAAAACTGTAGTTCTAACAGTTTTGAAAAAATGGTGTCGAAGATGTATTAAATGTTCATTCCAAACTATTTGAATAAACTGCTATGTCATCGACGTAGGCTCGAGCAAAATCTTTGTATTTAGCAAGGGCCTGGTTCATCACTCTCTGAAATGTTGCAGCGGCCTTGCGTAGCCCGAAAGGCATGACTTTAAATTGATACTGAGCTCGATGTGTCTTGAAACAAGCTAATTCTTGACTTTTTCTTTCTAATGGTATGGCCCAATAGCCTTTGAGTAAATCGATGCTGGATATCACTTTGGCTTTTCCAATGTGGAATAAGAGCTCTTTAGGATTTTCCATAGGGAAGTCATCTGGTTTCGTTACTGCATTAAGGGATCTAAAGCCAACGCAAAGACGAAGTCAACGCAAAGGCCGTCTGTCTTCATAACGCATACAATAGGGTACGAAATTTCAGTGTTTGTTTCTTCAATTAATCCCATTGACAACATTTCTTCGATTTGTTTATCTACTTGCGGCTTCAATGCTTCTGGAATTCGATAAACATATGGCTTCTTTCTTTCAGTGTCATTTAATCTTATTTTATGTTCTCCTACTTTGGCAATTTATATCTTATTTATAAATAAGTTTTCATATTTTCTTAACAAGTTCATCATGCCATTTCCTTTATCATCATCTAAATGGCTTAGGTCTACTTCGTTAAGATGAAAATGATCGGACTTGTCACTCGCTCTGGGTGTGGGATGGACTTCTCCTAGTTCTTTGTTCTCAAATATTACACCTACTTCTTGTACCTTTGGATTAAATTTTCTAATTTTATTTACGTGTACTTTTCTTATTGTACCATCTGTCAGTTTGACTCTGTAAGAATCTGGATTACAACGAGATACTATTTCTGCAGGTCCTGTCCATCTGGCATATAATTTATTACTCGAATCAGCAGGTACACTTGATCTCTAGGATTGAATTCTTTATATATAGCCCTTGTCACTCACACTGGATTAGTATATCTTGCATATGCACCTTGTTTCAATTCTGCAATTATAGATTCTTTGCTCTGCTGCTATTTCTAAATTCATTTTTATCTCCTGTAGATAATCAACAGCACTTTTACCCAATTTTATTGGTAATGGAATTTCTCCTGACTATGATGATTTTAATACTGACAATGGACCTTTGGCCTCTCTTCCATACATTAATTTATTGGGGATACTCCCGTAGTACAATTTGGAATTTCGCGGAAAGCGAATAACAAGTATGGTATGTGTTTGTCCCAATTTTTAGAGTCGTTTCTAATGATATGATGAAGCATACGTTTTAGAACTTAGTTATACCGTTCAACTAATCCCGAATTTTGTGGATGTCCTGGTGTGGCAAATCTAGGACTTGCTCCTAATCTGGCATGAAATTCTTGTGTTAATTCTGCAACAAAATTGGTACCTTGATCGCTAGCTATTACCCGAGGTATGCCCGTTCTCATAATGATTTCTAATAATGCGTCACATGTTGATTTTGCTGTAATTGTTCTCAAAGGGACAGCTTCTGGCCACCTAGAATATTGGTCGACTAAACATAGTACGTATTTGTGTTTACGTTCCTCATCCCTAAATGATTTGCAAAAATAGATTCATGAGGTAATTTTTAAATTTGTTCCCTTCTAACTTTAGGTAATACGAATTGACTAACTTGTTCTCTGGAAATTCTTTCGGTATGATAAATCAAATCGTCCATTAAGAAATATTTGTTATTTCTTTGTGCCTCTTTATAGATATTGCGTAATGTCTCACATTCCCTTTGCTGCTGTTTAAAAATACTGGCATCTGATGTTGACTCACATTTAATGTATCCTCACTTTCATTTTCGTCCTGAATGCAACGTATGACTAAATTTTTCTCTCCTCCTGTCATAAATAAATCAGCGCGTCTTTCGCCTTCGAATTGTTTTGACTGATGACTCCTCACCTCTTCTGGTATCTGCGATGGAAACACTGTGTCTCAATCATGATTCGCGCTAAAGCAAATGTGATTCAGAGGTCAATAAATAAATCATAAACATTTGGAGTAATTACGCAGGGAATATGAAGTTTTTCTGTTACAGCTACTAATATTTCGACAGGTTTCAATAAATTAGGATTATCAGCATTTCTAATGGATATAGGAATTCTAGCCACTTTAGCTGATATGGTTTCTCCGAATGCAGAAATTAGGTCAATATTACAGTTGTTCTCAATAGAGAAATTTGTTATGTGTTTCGGATTTATAACAGAAATCTCGACACCCGAATCAATTATGGCTTGGATTTCGTTACCTGCAACGCAATATTTACCTTTTGCAATGGTTGCGTAAAAATTTCATTTGACAAGCATGAAGATCCTTTTGAATTTTTGCTATCTACTTTATCACTAGTATTTTTCTCTTGTGTTCCTTTTTTTAGAGGAGGGTTTTGTTTTACCGATTTGTTTCTTTGTGGACAAGATTTAGTGAGATGCATTAATTTTCCACATATGAAACAGTCTTTGGGTGGATATTTATTTTTATTTATGTTGCTTCTCATATGAGGGGGAATATATTTTGATTCTCTTGAAGAGTGGGACGATTTAGCTATGTTTTCGTTAGTGTTAAAAGTGGTTTCGTTTAACAATTTGCCTTTGTTTACAAAATATAGTTCAACTTCTTTAGCTAAATCCTTAGGTTTT